AATCCAAACCATTTTATGACTTTTTCTCATTGGCCACATTGCTGACAAAGATGTATATAATCATGTGATAATTTTAATCTATAGGACAGGGGACTGATCAGGCAAAAACCCCACCCAAAATTATAAATTGGTTAGTATCAGAGAAACAGAGAATTTATGAAAGTGATTATACAAAACAGACACTATTTTACAACTTTCCTCTTAACATCAGAGCCCAAATGCAATTTCAGGGCCACAAACCCTACTCTGGATTGTGACCTCCTGTGCTTGGAACGAGTTGCAGGTTCTTGTTGCTTTGATGGATCTGGATATTTACATGGCACTACAATTCATCTGCAGAGTTGCGACAGCTTGGTCATATAGCCATACTTACCCTGGAGGTGGGATTGTTGCAGGCGACTTTTCGGCTAGCATGCCGGCGGCCTTCTCTGGTCTGGGGAGATTAATGAAAATGTCATTGACGATTGATACAGTCTTGGTAAACTCCAGGGCCATACACCCCCCCTGGTTCGGTTTCATCATTGTATCATCAGAGAGCCATGGTCAGATTAGCCTTATGTACATGAGGAATATGTGAGAATGACTGTAAGTGTTCAAGGTGGTGTGCGTGCTTCAACATCTGTAAATTTCCAATAATCAAACATTGCATTTTTGAAATGTTTCGTATTCAATGGTGTGCTGCCTTGATATCTTGTGATTATAATAATATTAATATTATTATTGATTACGCAAAGCAATATATTATCAATGAAAATCTTGTAATTACCCAGCAAGATCTGCCCCGCGTTTTGATTTCAAATATTTATAAAAACATCAATACAAATAAAAAAGAGTACCTCCGGTTAGTTATTAACATGTTTCTTTAGGAGACCCAAGCCAAACTAAGCAACAACATTCACGTTTTGTCACCTTGGACTCTGTCAAAAAATAAATAAATTGTTTTTCCAAAAAAAATCAATCAATTCGCATCTGTCCTACCAAAAAAAAAACCAATAGGATAAATAATTAATGTGTATGCATCGATTAAACAACAAACTTCTTTTTAAAAATATTTTTATTAAAATGTCATTTCAAAAAAATACCAATAAAAGAAGACAAGATAATAATTGGGAAGCAGTAGCTGGGTAAGTGTTTTAAGAAGGATGGTGGTGGTGGTTATCGCCCGCCACTCATCGTTACTCTAGTTTCATTAATACATTTAACCAATATATTAGAGAAAAAAGACCAAGAATTAAAGGTCAAAATGACCTGAAAAAATTTGACAAAGCCAGGGAGTTTGAGAAGCACCTGGAAAAAATTTGACATGATTACATGTGGAATTTAGGAGATAAGCTCAAGCCAGTTCGTCAATGTGCTACTGCATTAAGAGCAGGAAATAAAAAACTGGCAAAAAAGCAGATACTGTGGGTTGTTGTTCCTCAGATGTGAACATATTACTTTGGTACCACCAAGGACAGTTGAGTTTGATTTCTTAGGTAAAAATTCAGTAAGATATGTAAACTCAGTAGAAGTAATAGATCAAGTTTTCGAAAACCTTAAAATATTTATGAAGAATAAGGAATCCAGTGAAGAGTTATTTGACAGATTAATGGTACAAAAATACAAGATTTAAATTTAATCAATCACATATATGTGTGTGCGTTTGTGTTTGTTCTATTAATAAATTCAAATTTTCTTTAAAAATTCATTTGGGCTCAAGATTTGAATGAACATTTGTCTGAATACATGAAAGGACTAACTATCAAAGTATTTTGTACATACAATGCATCTTGTACCTTCCAAATTGAGCTAAAGAAAGGGATGGAGAATGCTACTACTATAAGAGAGAAAATAGCAGCATATAATAAAGCAAACAAACAGGTTGCTATTTTATGCAACCATCAACATTCCATCAGCAAAGATCATGATAATCAAATCAATAAAATTGACAATAAGGTAATTAATTTTTTTTTATCATGATTATTGTTAATTTCTTAAATAAATTCACATGTATGTATTCTTTAATATGTTAGGTTCATGCTTTGAAATACCAAAGAAATAGATGTAAAATGGAATTGTTGAATCTTGTCCCCAGATTAAAAAAGAGCAAGCCTCAACTATTTGAACCAGAATCAGACATGGAAGAGGAATGGATAATTGAGCATGAGAAGCAATTGATGGAAGGGGAATGTTTGGCAGCTGTAAAAAAATTTGAAAGAGATAATGAAAAGCTTACTGGAGAAGGAAAGTCACCTAAACCTGATGAGAATCTCAAACAATTATTAAAAAACATTGATGAAAAGGAGAAGTTGTTGAAGAATGAACGAAAATCTGGAAAGGTCAGTCTGAGAAATGGACAAACAAGTGAAAAACTCCAGATCCAAATAGAAAAATTGACAGAACTTATTAAAACCACCAAGTTATTAAAACAAGATAAAGAGGACAACAAGACAACTGCATTAGGCACATCAAAAATCCATTACCTAGACCCACAGATCTCTGTTGCATGGTGCAAAAAATATGATATGCCAATCACTAAAATTTTCAACAAGACCCTCCATGAAAAGTTTCAGTGGGCATTGGATGTAGATGCAGATTGGGTGAGTATTTTTTTTTTTAATTAATTTTATTAAATAATAATATATTTAAAATTATTTTTATTATTTTATAGGAATTTGCAGTTATTTTCATTTGGCCATTTTTGCTTTTGCTATTTTAAACTTGTGAATTTGTACATTGTGCTTGGTATTAAATCTCCACCTGGTGGATGGTTATATTTTTTGTGCTGATAGAAATTTTTTTATAATTTAGATCTGATGATAGTAAGGATTCTATTATCATCATCATTAGCTATATTATTATTATTATTAATTTAGATTATAAATATGAAAGCTACAATTTATATATATACTCCCTCTATCAATTTCATTTTAATTATAAAATAATGATAATTTTATATTATAATTAATAAAAATAGAGACAAGAAATTTCAGAGGACTAAAGTTTAGTGATACAAAATAAACTTATTTTATTCCTGTAATCAATCCAAAGATATATAAATTCATGCTAAGCTTAAAATCTTGTTTTCACTTTGGCATTGACTTGGTTGTACTGGTTTTATTCAATTTCAATCTGGCTGATACTTTTCTAGTTAAAAAAATTAATTAATAATAATTTCTGCCGATCGGTATATATATTCGCGTTCATATATATAGCCTCCTTTTATTGGAATATTGTTATTATTATTATTATTATTATTTTCTCATAAAATTTTTCCCTCTTTCCTTTAATTTTGAAATGTTCTCGGAATTATTTTATTATTATTTTGTTGTCATTTTCTTTATTTTTTATTTTATTAATAATAATTTATGTACTTGCTTATTTCTTTAGTCGAAAGGCTTTTCCCTTGGAAATTCGCTAAGTTTTTTTTATATTGTTTGTTTATTGTTATATTGTTTGTTATATTGTTCACATTTTTCATCGTTTTTTTTATAAAAAATTTTTTTATAGTTCTTTCGATCCTGCTTTTCTCTTGTCAGTTCTCTTTTCTCCCAGTAAGAGTAGAACTGTGGACCGATACCCTTTTGAATTCCTTTTAATCCCACTTCTCTGATCTTTTTGATCACCGGATTTGATCCCCGGCTAACATTCATTTTTATGAATTTTTAAATTTTCCCTTTCCTGTTCTAAATTTTGTTCGACTATCGTTTTCTTTCTTTTTACTGGTTTCTTGGCAATTCTTCCAGTTTATCGAAAAGAATTGTCATTGTTAGCTGGCAGGTGGCCACCTTTTGGTAAGTTTTTATAATATTTTCATAATCCCGAGAACAAAATTATAATTTTAATAATAAAATAAATTTTGAAATATATATTTAATATTTGTATTTATTGATTTGTATTTTATTGATTTGTATTTTATTGATTTGTATTTATTGATATTTATAAAAATAAAATCCAAATATTATAATTATTGCTACAGTGAACCCTCCCTAAGTGCACCCTCCCTAAATGCACGCACTATGTATACCCTCCATAAATGCACGGCCCATCTCATCCCCAAGCTTATAGAGAGCTTATAAAATCACCCTCCGCAAATGCACACCCTCCATAAATGCACGCTCACAAGAAATAGCACTATGTTCCCGAGGGGGTGCACTTATAGAGGGTTCACTGTATTATTGTTATTATAACCATTATTATTGGTCGCGAGCAAAATAATTTGCAATAAAATAAATTTGAATGATCGATTCGTATTTGGGGGGTGCTCTGGGAAAAACGGGATTTCGAGTAATATATTAAAAATTTTTTTTTGTGCAAAAGATTATAATGTATTTTGCG